TAGTATTATAAGTTTTACATTTCAAGGAGAATATAGAGCGGGTTTGGGGCTCTTTTTTCCCCACATACATCAGATGATGCATCAAACTCAATTCTTCTGTTTTAGAGAATTTATCAATAAGAAGAAATTCATCGTAACATGTCTTCTTTGTTAATGCTCTTGTTCATTTTCCTCCCTCTCTTATCTCTTTCTTTTTTTTCTCTCTCTCTCTCACTGTTGTCAAGGGCAACCGGAGGAAACGGATGATCACAATAACACCATCACCTGATTATTATCAAGGGGGAATCATCAGGTGCGAATGGAATGCTTTTAGTACGCACTTACCTACCTTTCCTATGCTGTATGTAAGGATATAACTAAGTAGAGTAACCTCATTAATTTTGGAGAGTTTAAAAAAAAAAAAAGAATCACTATTGCTCATAAAAGGGACACACATCACGCGCGCGCGCGCGCGCACATACAGAGCGTAAATCAAGTGGTTGTTGGCAGGCTCACGGCTAATTCCCCATGAATATTTAATCAACAGTAAACAAATTACTATTGCAGTGAGTGGTGCCAGTATGATTGCCGTGTTGCTACATGTGTTTGTGGCGGCCTGTGTCCTTGCGTTAGCGCGAGCCTCATTAATGCAGACGCATCTCTCTCTCGGAGCTCGAGCTCTTTATTAAACTGTGCGCCCTAAAAAAACGCAGCTTTGTTCAGCCGAGCTCTAACTTCGCCTCCGATCGGCTGACGACTCGAGAAACGAGATGGAAGCAAAGTGCCGACTGACGGAGCGCGGAAAAGCGGGTTTTGGGAAACGTGTCTGGACAGCGTCTGGAGCACAGGCAGATGTGTTGCTGCCTGCGAGAGGAATGTCGCGCTGGCTATAGGTCGAAGGTAGCTGCAGGGTCTCCTTGAACAGTGTGCATCCCCTCACTGAGAGCACTTCAACTTTTTTTTATTTTATTTTTTTTATTTATTTATTATTTTATTTTATTTTATTTGGCATATTGTCACATGTTAGGGTTTTTATGTAAAAGACCATCACAAAACAGTGTAAGGATTAAAATAAATGTTTTAAGAAAAATTTCCACAAATACTAACACTACCCTTTTTATCCTGGTGCTCCTACATATAATTCAGTGCAGAAATCACCTAAGTATAATCTGTTGAGAATAACTAATTCTGTGTTTTCCTTCTCTTTTGGCTAGTTGCACCATCACGAGCCATCACTAGCTAAAGCTAAATTACATGTTAGGAAACACCCTCAAAGCTAAAGTTAGAGAATATGACACACTAGGGAACACCCTCTATAGGACGTAGCTTAGATAGAGGCTTACAAGTAGAATTACAAACTGTTGCTTGATGCCATTTTGTCCTGCTAGCCCTCAAGGATAGCATGAGCTATGGACCAGCTGTGTCTTGGTATTAATAAATGGAATTCATGAATTCAACTCACTGACTCTTCTTCAACCTCATACATCAAGAACTTAGCATTGAGAAAGGATAATTCTCTACAAATCCCATAGTAAATAATCAGATAATCAAATAATCAGCCAACAGAGAAACATTGTGGAAAAATGGTAGTGGCAGCAACATGCTTTGGTGATGCTTTACTTCAGCATGGACAAGGGGATACAAAGGAAACATTTGTAGTTAAAGGGGCAGTATTACGTGTTTTCCAGCCACATAGTACCACTTAATGGCACAATCAAATAATATTTACCTTCAGTTGTTATAAAATGTTCTATATGTGTATATGACTTAAAAGAAATTTGACTTTGTAGTTTAATGTCTTGAAATTGGGTCCCGTCTCTTTAAAAATGGTTCTTTCTGAAACTCCACCTTCAGGAAGTCATCACTACAGTACACCTCTGTTATCCCTTTAACAAAGTTTTTACCAGCGTTTCACTGAGAAGTGGCTCATATAATGAGCTGAGCAGATGCATGGCTCCATTGGGTGTTTGCTAATTGCTGCTGGCTAGTCTGAAGGAGCTGGGTGAGGGAGTCGTGGGAGAAGGGTGTTCCGTATGGTGAAAGTTTGGAAACTTGGAAAGTGCAGCTCTGAGGAGGAGGTGGTGCTCGGTCCCCCCAAATGTTTTGCACGGCTGAATGGTTGCCACGGGAGATGAAAGGTCTGCGCCTATTCGAAGCAGACTCAAAGGCCACTTTTTACGGTCACATAAATGTGCTCAGTGTCGCACAATAAAACCTTCCAAAATCGCCTATTTGCAGAACTTGATCACTTTGGGATTACTTAGAGGCATCAGATTAAAGAAATACATCTGAAAACCACTTGCTTCAAGTATTTCTTTGAAAAATATTCAGAAAACTATGACTCTTTTTCATCCACGTGACCACTGTGCTTCTTTTTGTGCTCATAACCTTCTCATTTTTGAGACATGAAATTTAAAAATGTATGTATTCTTTAATAAATAATATTATTGGCCTTTTCTGCCACAAATGTACTATAAAGTTAAGTATTTTTTAGATTCATTCAATAATGACAACAATAACATGACCCTGTGAGAACTTCAAACCGTAAAAAAAATAAATAAATAAAAAATAAAGTTGCATAAATCAAAACTAAATTTGTTTGGACCTGTCAATGCATTCCCAAATGTCAAGCAGAAATACAGCAGTTAGCAAAACACTCTCACCCCCAAAAATATTACATGCACCTCTGCTGAACTCCATGGCATTGGACTATAAATCAGTCATGACAATCTGAAAGTGCTTTAAAGGAAACTGAGCTCTCAACATACACAATTTATTTTGCACCCAGAGCTCATTTATTAGGACTGAAAGCAACAAAAAGCTGTTAAATCGGCCCAAGGGAAGATTGTTTTTTCCATCAATAAGCCACACAGCTAAGTCAGTTAATTCAAGTGTCAATGAGTTCATTGATTTATTTAATTGTGGATATAAATCTTTTATGCAATGATCCACTGTTGCGATCTACGACAGTGGTGGTTCTTGAATGAATGGTGCCCTTGGCAGTTTCCTCCTTCAGATGACCCCTTACCCTCAATAAACCACTCAGACCAGCTAACCTGATAAAACCCATTCTACAGAAGTAGGTAAAAACCACAAAAATTGTATTAAAAATCTCTCTCAGAGGTAAAATAATCCAATTTGGATGTAAGATCTTTAACCTGATGGGATCAAATTTTGTCCAGATTCTATGACACACCAATATGGTTCTTTAACTTAGTCAAATTTAATATGTCATTTTAATAAGAGTCTTACCACTTGTCTGCTCATCTGTCCATCCACTTATCCAGTATTGGGTTGTGGGGATAACAGGTCCAAGAGGGAAACCCAGAAATACCCAGAAGGATATATAATCCATATATGGTGTGTGGTTATTCCCCAGGGTATCCACCCAAATGGACAGGTGCAGAAAACCCAGGGACCCAGTAGGCATCCTGATGGCCACTGGGTCCCACCACAGTAGACCCCTTTTAACTCGGAGGAGTAGCTGCTCTGCCATTTCCCCTTGGAAGATGAAACTCTCCACCCTATCCAGCCACACCACAAAGGAAGCTAATTTGTATCGCTTTTAACCAGGGATCTTGCTCTTTCGGTCGTGGTCCATATCTTATGACCGTAGCTTAGAGTTGGAATGTTTGCCAACCATAAATCAAGGGCTTCCCTTCCTGATGTGTCAGGTCTTTTTTCACAACAATGGAAAAAAGCCTGACTGGAGACTAAGCCCTCTGTCCAACTCCGGCTCCATCTTACCATCATTCAGGATAACACACTAAGATACTTAGGATGCATTCACACCAGCCCTATTTAGTTCACTTTAATCAAACTCCAGTTTTAGTGCCTAGAAAGTCTGGTTCGTTTGGGGAATTAAGAATGAGGGATTGAATTCTGATGTGGACCAAAAAAGTGAACCCTGGTCTGCCTACAAGGGTCGTAGTTTGGTTGAAGTGAACCCTATCGCAGTTTGAATGCATGTGTGCAAAGCAGCTCTGGGCATTCTGGGTAAACACGACCAAAACAAACTTATCTCTAGTGGTAGAGGGAGTCATGGTCCTTTCTCGAAGAAAAGTCCTACCACTTCTAAAATCTAATGCTGGTCCAATTTTCTTTATATTTTGCCAAGGAGGAAGAGAGGATGTATGCTCACATCAGCTTCAATGGTTCTCATGTTTTTTCCTCGATGCAGCGCCACCACAGGTGAGGGGGACCAACAGGTATTTGAAAGGGTCTGGATTATTTTACACAGTGCGGTGTGAAAGCGAACCGCACCTGCTGAAAATGTAACAAATGTTTCAATTTTGGTCTCCAATCAAACCAAGTCTACTGGATAGTCAGGCGTGAAAACACCTTTAAAATCTTACACTTGAGTCAAGAACCGTGGGCATGACAAAAGCTGCATCACTCCTGTATGGCCACGGTGGCTGACACTCTCCCTCACCCTTGGATAGCATGTTAAAATCTGACAAACCTGTGCTTCATAAGAGCTATTTTGTGCCACAAGAATTTTTGCCTTTGCATCATAATTTGTAAAATATATATTTTAAAAAAAGTAAAAGTAGTTGTTAAACAGTAAACAACATACCTGCCACATTACATCTGACTTAGGCAATATGGAGCTACTGGTTGACCTTTGATTACCTAATGTTTGCATCACAAACCATCACTAGCACAAACATTTGACAACTAACCTTTTTTTAATCAATTTGAAGAACTTGGAAGGCAGACAAAATGAACCTCCACCCCAGTGTATTTAACCAGCTTTCCTGAAGAAAAAATACCCCAACAGCATGATGCTGCCATCACCACAGAACTGGGTAAAGAGAAAAGAGGTGGAGAGATGTGTACATATAACAACACACATTGAACACGTAAAAAATCATGTTTTTTCTATAAACTTAACAATTATTTATTGTGTTGGTCTATCAATAAGAAACCCCATAAAATACAATGAACTTTGTTGTGACGCGACACAAGAAGGAAAAGCTCATCGAGTGTATACAGACACAGTACGGTATTTTGCGGGCTGTTTGGGTCCTCGCGCTCTACCTCTGTCTTGCACGCGCCTATCGTGTCTGCGTGCTCGCGTGGTTTGCTCTCCGTTTAACCTCGGTACAGCGTTCCGAGGCGACTCGACACGGCCGCTTTCACATCTCTCTCTCTCTTTCTCGCTCTTCCTCTCTCTCTTCTTCTCTTTCGCTCTCTCTTTCTATCTCCCGCCTCCCTCCCTCCCTGCTTCTCTCCCTCCTCTTCCTACCTGATTCAGAGCCGCTCCGACGCTATGCGTATGACCGCGTCTCTCTCTGCAAGGCGAGCACCACCAGAGAGAGCCGCACGCTCCTGCTGACCGCCGGCCGCGAGCACTACTCCCAACGCCGGCTGACGAGGCACCCAGGCCGGGCAACGGGGGCAGGAGAGACACCGCTGAGTGCAGTCCGGAGGTAAGCGGCAGCCTCGTTTTTTCTTTCTGTCTTAATTCTGCTGTTATCGGCGCGGAGGGACTATGTTTGTGCGGAGGGGGTGGCCGCACACAGGTCGCTTATGAATGCTTTCGCTCTTATGACAGCTGAGCCAGCTGAAGCGAATGTACCCAGGAGTTAAATAAGTGTCGGATGTGAGCTTATTGACGGAATGAATGATGAAGCGCCTGTTGTACATTCGTTGCTGTCTATTATTGTTAATAAATGTGTAAAATACATGTCTCTGTATAAAACAAACCACTGTCCGCTCTCTCGCGTTTTTGCCTTCATTCGCATTTGTTCACACATACTACATGTAGGAAATGTGCTTTCAGGTCTTGAGTGGTCAGGTCCGGTGTCACCGGGGGCGGGGGGGTGAGGTGAGATGCAGACAGGTCCTTTTGAAGAACGTGGCCACATCGTAATCAAGGAAACCCACGCGCGACTTGCACGCACGCACCCACGCAACAAGCCGACATACTTAATTTATAATTTCTGCATTTTACCGAAAAGAAAAAGGGAAATAAAAAAAATAAAAAAACTACCCACGCTGTTTAAATTTAAGTGTCCAAGCGCGTGCAAAATGCTCCGAAGCACGCGGAGTCCCCCGTTATCTCATCGGCCTCGGTTTCGCGTTGCTGTATCCTCCTGCAATATTGCCTAAGGTGATGTTAATCATCATTATCCCGTTTACTGTCGTCAGCCGCGGTACTTCCATCACTATCAGCCTGCACAAACTGCCCCGCCACCTTAAAGCCGCTCTGCGTCGACGGTTGTTTTTAAAAATATACCCAGTGATTTTTCCACACAAAGTCAGACAGAATAAAGAGGAACCGAGAAAAAGAAGTGAATATGCCTGATAGAGTGCAAAAGCAGAGGGTCATAGCGTTTAAAGCTATAATACACACACAGACAGAACAGATTGCTGTTTGTGTGTGCCCAACTTTGAGAACCTTAGAGCACTCAGTTGCTTTTAGGAAAAAAATAAAAAAAATAAAACAGAGCTGTTTTCTTCTAATCAATAATTCATCCCTCCATCTTTTTCCAGAGTCGGACCTGCGTAGGGAGGGATCTGCTAAAGGACAACCCTGAAGCCTTCTGTCCCTAGCTTTCACCTCTCCAAACTCCCTCTCTTCCCCCCCCCCCCCCCCCCCTCCCTCCTCTTTTTTTAGAACTTCTCACAGCCGTCTACGTCTTCCTGTCCTCTCACCTGTTCTACTTCCTGCTAACTGGCCATGGCATCCAAGCTGAACCCCAACGTCCTGTATGTGGCGGAGCCTGGAGAGTCCCTGGGATCACCCCAAGCTGATTCTGAAAGGACTCATATTGTGAGTGTTTACTTTTGTTTTTAGGCTTCGTGTAAAGATTTGATTGCTGTATTTTCTAGATCGGTCAAATGTTCTTTTCCACCACTTTTGTGTTTTAAAATAACCAGGTAAAGGCTAGCAACCTTCATGTTGCATTGACACTACTAGAAGAATTAGACATATATGTTAGTATATATATATATATATATATATATATATATATATATATATATATATATATATATATATATATATATATATACACATATTAGTGACAATTGGTATCAGAAGGTGTGTAGCGTTGCACCTGCCCCTCCCCTACCTGTTGCTCTGGACTGCCAGTTACTCCCACACTTTTATTTCACTTACATGAAAGACATATTCTACGGACATAAGATGGACATAATGGCATAAAAACTAAAGAAACTAAAACTGCAGCTCGCAACCTGTGAGTAACATCCCAGAGCTACTCATCGCATTGTTCTTTAAAGAGCAGTTTGACAAAAAGAGATGAATTTGGTGTAACAAGCGTCTTTGATTGTAAATTAATACTGATTTTTTATGCAGTGTTTGCCTTAGTTTACAGATTGAAACAACAAAATGTAATGAATACCAACAAAAACCTAATCGTTTGTTTTATTTTAGCAACAGAAAGATTTGTTGTTGCCCTACTTATTTTAAATAAAAGTAATAATAGCATGTTGTGCATTTTTATTTACATCCTTGCGTAATTACTTTGAGATAGAGAAGCTATGAGTTTTACTCAGGATTATCATATCGTGACAACCACGTGAGAATACACCGGTGCTCAGTTTTGGACAAGCGTTGTTCCCCGACAGGAAACCGAATAAATCAGTCACAATACGTGAACCTTACCGGAACCTAAATGAGTTACCAACTCTTACAAAGGTTGAAAGATACAAGTGTTACATGTGGTGGTTCTCACACAATCTCATTCAACATGCACAGCTAAATTTATAAGCATCATCAAATGCTCGCAATTTTTTTTTACTGCAAGTTCAAAGGTTGAAGTTTTCCAGTGGCGTTATCTGTTGCTCAACCCCAGAGAAATATGACTCACCTATTTTTTTTCTTTTTTCTTTTTTTTTTATATGTCTAAATATAAGTCGCTGTTGCCTCTCGACACCCAGGATGTGATGAAATCTGTAAATAACCACAATAAAAACATGTAGCTGAAGATAAAAAGCAACAACAAGGTTATTTGACATCGTCAAAAAAAAAAAAGAAAGAAAAAAAATCCACCTCTGAGGTTAAAATGAAGTTAGTTTTACAGGACACAGTGATGTTACATGCATATGAGGGAACGTTGGGGACAAAAAGTACGAAAAGCTTCATATTTCATTTGAGTTGCATGTTGGCCTGTCACAATACATTTTGCTGGATGATGAATTGTCCCAGAATTTATTGTGAAAAACGATAATATTGTTGTTTTGAGACCATTTTCAAGTAATTTAAAGGTGATTGCATAATAATAACAACGCAAGAAGACATTCTGACATTCAGTAAATTTAAGCTTTTATGAACATTTAACACTGGAACTGGAAGACATTTTAAATATCCAAAATAAACAAACAGAAACAACAAATAAAATGTATTATGAAGTCTCTGTAAACAAAATTATCCTGGCTAGTTCAGACCAAAGCACCAGACTGAAGACTTTTGTCATCCAGGTTTTGGTAGAAAGAGAGATAAAAACAATGCAATGGAAATCATTTAATCATGCGATTAATTGATTTATTGCTTATTGGGCCAGGTCTAGTCACACCTATAGATTTGTTTAAAACATTAAGTTTCATATGTTCACTGCATTTAGCTTTAGTATACCTTTTTCACTCCAAGAACAAAACCTTGCATAACCTTGTTTAGTCAGCTGGCTGAAAGACATCTTCAGCACTTTTCCACTGTTAACAAGAAGGACAAAAAAACCCGTCATGCTTGAAAATAGTCAGTTATGAAAACCACAGACAGTCATGAGGTGAAGACTAAAGAATCATCATTTGATCCGTTTTATGAGGTTTTAAAACGGCCACAAACAGCATGCAGACCAGCTGACCGCCACACTTGCAATTCTGCACAAAGATCAGGTTGGTTAAAATTAAAATGCTATTTTTGTAGTAGTGGAAATAATTGTAACTTTTCTGTTTAAAACAAAACAAAGCAAACAATTAGATGCTATTGTAATTTTTTTGCCTACCTTGAAACTAGTATTTCTAGTCAAGGTTATCACACCATGAGAAGCTCACTGCAGGCCAGATCCACTGGAAGCCAAACTAGAGTTATCTCCCATAACCGCTGCCACTTTCCAGGGAAAGTGTGTGCTGTGCTACGACTAAATGAAAGGACACTGAACTCTACACTGTGGCGTACAGACTGTGGTAGACCACAGTTTCTCATAAATTGGTCCTCGGTGCTAATTATCCGTTTAAATATATGCCACTGGGCTGCTAAAATAGGCTCTGCATTACAGTTCTGTAGGAAGGAGCGGCTGGTTTGTAGCAGCTGAGTTTAGTTTCAGTACTCCCACTACCACTGATCTGACTGAATGAAAGCCTTTCTCAGTACATACAGAAGTAAATTGATAGAGGATTTTAGGGAGAAAACACCTTTAATGATTAGTTTCTATGTATTAGCCTGGTAAATTTATGCATAACATCAAGTACCACAACTGCTTTACAGATGCCAAAACAAAAGGGAAACCAGTTCTACCCTGCAGCATTTACTTAGACAGATGTTTCTTTATATTCTAATATGAGATTGTGGATGTTTTAGGAAGTAGAAAACTTTTTTTTTTGTGAGTGTGTCAGTCCAGTTTACTTTGTGCCAGAAACTAATGGCTAATTAACAGTTTTTGTCTGAAAGTAAGTGCTTTTATTAACAGTTTAAATGGACGCTTATCAGTTTTTAAATGCCTCTTCAGTGATATGAACTGACATTACAGCGGTTCTGGAATTGTATTCTTGGTTATCAGTAATGTGAAGACTTTTAAAACCATTAAACCATTTAAATGGACCCTTATCAGTCTCTTCAGTAATATGAATTGATTGACATTACAGTGGTTTTAACATGTAAAATCAAAAAAGAAAATTCTTTGATATTAGCAATTTTCCCACGGCTACATTACATTAATGTGAAGAAATTAACTTGAACAATAAAAAGTAAAGAAGCCACTTTAGTTGTTTCTGAAACTTTTCTATATCTTGGCTAAAGGTTATTTTATGTCACAAAAATTATACTTATTTTCATTCTCTTTTCTTTGTATTGTTTGTGTTGTGGTGAATGTTTGTGCCATATAGCTTTTTATGATTTTTAATTTAGTAACTTGATATGCCCCTCTTAGATAAAAAAAGCTTTATATTTATTATTATTGTTATTTTTTTATTGGAAGAAACTTAAGCTGTCTGTGTTTACACTGTAATATGTTTAATTTTTATTGCTTGTACCTGGACAGACTACAGACCAAACTAGCCTTCATGGCTAACCCTGGCATATTATGTGATATGTTTTGCTCTTTTCGAAATAAACAACAACAAAAGTAACAACATTCAAAAATAACTTAGGATAAAGCGACTGTCACACTGTTTTCTATCTGCTGTTATATTTAAAAAAAAACATGTTACACAAGCCTGAGTGTGACAAAATGAAATTTGACACTTGTGGCTTGAATGTCAAATGAGTGCAGGTACTGGGATCACAGGTGTGAAACTGATTGTGTTCTGTGGCGTCAGGATTGTTGCTGCGTAATCACTGAGATTTAAAGATTGAGTCAGAATCCTAAAGTAGACTTTCATGGCTCTGAGTGCATAGATTAGTCATATTAATTTCCAAATAAATCAGAAAGTAGGTTATTCAGTCAGTGTTGCCTCCAGTTGCAATCATCTGGCATGTTGCTGTAAGTGAATTTTCATGAGCGCAGACAAAGCACTTGCATAACATTGCATGAGATTGAGTATTATTACTGGGTCATTTCTGTGAGTCGTGGTTTACTCAAATCTGTATACATGACGAGTGGAAACTGCGGGCTCCTGCTGCGGGATTTTTTTTTTATCAAATCATGCATGATACAAAGTTAAATGCGTATATATCTTTTACAGAAGACAGTATTTTGTCTTAAAATCAAGGTAAATGCACAATAGAGAATTATTTTTGAAGGTTTTCCTTGCTTACATAGAGTTCAGGCACCGAGCTGTCTGGTTTAGGTTAAGAAAAACGTAACCAGTTTGCCCTCATGGGCAAACGGAGGTCAAAGTGCTATTTACTGTAAATGCTTCTATGCAGCTCTTGCATATTTAAGCTCCTAGGGTGGAGTCACAGCACAGTCTTCACACATTACACGCCTCAACACACTTCATATAAACAGACAGCGGCAACCCTTTTAAGAGCTGGTAAACTAATGATGGTGCACAAACAGACACATTAAGCTTCACGCCAGCTTACATCTCTTTTTGCTATTTTTTCCAGTCCGGAGAAGCTGGGGAAGAGTCGTCAGACAGCGAAGGAGAGCAAGAGGAGACGTCACACAAGCTGATCCGCAAGGTGTCCACCTCCGGACAGATCAGAGCCAAGGTAGGTGACGATTTTACACTGTTCCCGTTGGACATTTGTGGTTTATAGTTTATTTAATTTGACTTTTTTGAAGATGTTTTGGGAGCATTTCTCAACTCTAGGAAATCAGAGAGCCATAAAATGTTCAGATTCAGACAGCGCTCCGCTAAGTCAAAGAAAGTCATCAAAAATTTAAATTAAAATTCTTTTTCGTCATAGCTTTTATGGCGAGCTCTGATTAAGCACTTAGTTATTTAGCAGCGGATAAAAAATTCAAAGCTTTTTGACTCTCCGATGTGTTCACATGGTTATTTGATGAACTTTTTTTTTGTGTGTGGTGTTTTTTAAATTTAAAGAGCCATTTTGTTGCGCCCTTCCAGCTGCCTGTCAGATTTTCACGTCGCCTGTTTCATATTTCTGTTTCAAGTTGAAGTTTTATCAACGCTCAAACCAAACTCAAGAAGTTTGATTTGATCAACCTTCTGAACCTCTGTCTGGTTCTCTTGAGGTCAGCCGAGTTCCTGATCTGCTTCCTGGCTGCGTCACTTTCCACTCTTACCGTCACTGAGATGACTTCTCTTTGAATCGCTCACACAGGATGCGATCTCGCCGTCGCTGTTTCCTTTCTTATTGCCGTGCTGGGCTCTGGCACCGATTGGTTGAAATTAGCTTGTTGCCAGCGCATGAAAAAACGCGCATACACTCGAAAAATCGAGGTGTTCAATATAAATGCATTTAGGTTAAATATATTCAGATTTATGGTGACTTTTGTAAAATAATTGCAGTCATGCTGGGCAAATATTTGATCAAGAAGCCGTCCATGTATTTTATTTACAAGTTAAAATAAAGTTAAGTTCTGTAAACATATATTTCTAGATGATGTTAAAACTTTTCTTAATTTTGCATATTCAGCTCTGGAGAAAATTAAGAGACCACTTAAAATAATCAGTTTCTCTGATTTTACTTTTTATAGGTTTATGTTAGAATAAAATGAACATTGTTCTTTTATTCTATGAACTACTGACAACATGACTCTGAAACTCCAAGCAAATATTTAGTACTTATTTGCAAAAAATGAGAAATGGTCAAAACAACGAAAAAGATGCAGCGCTTTCAAACCTCAAATAATGCAAAGAAAGCAAGTTAATATTTATTTAGAAACTGTATATGTGCATGTTTTTCTTCACATTCTTAGCATTTAGCATATTTTACTAGATTTTGATTTTTTTTTTCATTTTTAACATTTCATTTTTAATATCACAAAGTTGTGATGTTATTATTTATTTATTGATTTATTTTTTTGCGTTTTTATTGGGTAAAGTTGTGGCTTCCGGAATCATGAAGTGTTTGTCGTAATGAGTTTGGAAAATAAATTTTTACATTTATATATAAAAAAGACATGAAACCCTTTGAATCAGATAATAATAAAAAGGAGATTTTAATTAATGATCAAAATTAGATTTTAAATGAGTTCAAGGAATTAAGGAGAAATATAAACAGCAGAACTTATCCTCAATCTTAAAGAAAAGTGAGCTTCAGCTCTTTGATTTTACTGTGTGGATGAAACAGCGCATTATGTCAGTGGCAGGAAACAAAGACAAATGTTTGTGCAGAAATCATTATCCATCACCTGCACTAACACCATCAGCTGTAAAACACAGGCCAATCAATGGGAGACGAGGGATTCCCGCAAAACCCCATTGCCAGGGGAACGGCATCCCATAATGCTCGATTTGCTTGTGGCAGATAATGGCAGCTGATATGTCTGATATTGATTGGATAATTTAATCGTGGTGGGAACATAAGAGCACTGCAGTCATGATAATGGCAGCAAGTTAGAGTTTCTGCCTCCCAATTACAAAGTAACAAAGGTTGTACACATTTAAAAATACATTTACGTTTCACAAAATTGACAAAAATATGTTTTACATCTTAAAGTCTCACTTTATATTTGAGTTAGCGGTGGGCATTTATCACCTCGTTTGTCATTTATCGTGATATTTTGATTTATCGCTGTCACAGTAAAGTCCAGTTAATGATGCTTACCGTTTTCTCCAGTTTAAATAAAAGCATCAATAAATACCAGTAAATTTGAAAATACATTCACCATCTGCAGCTACAAATCACATTTTTTACCTGACTGGTGTCCTAAAGAAGTTTGTTACAAACAGGAACGCTGTTCAAGAGCAGTATTTGTGTGTGTGACGTGTTCATTTTAAACTGTAAATGAATGAAATAAATGTATTTTTAGGCTTTTATACACATTATTAACAGAACAAAACTGAACCAAAGCTTGTCTTACTCCAGGGAAAGATTATGTAACTGTAACTGTAGTGACAGGTAGAGATGTTAAACTTCTCTGACTCAGAGTGTGTATCATTAGTCATGTGACTTAGATTAAGCTCGTCAACAACTTTGGGATTATGCTCAAGTGACAACAGCCTGAGCCGATTAGCATTTTTGTATCCTTTTGTTAGAGTATCCCTGACACTAAGTGCGCCCTGTTGTTTTAGAAATAAACTTTCAGGTTATTTTTTTCACCACTGTGTACGAGTTAGCAGAATCCAGGCATCTTTCTTAGGTTTAATTATGCTTTGTTAATTTTGTCCTTTGCTTGTTACCGTCCTCGTTGCGGACGACGTCTGTTAGCGCGCTCGTTGAAGAGCCGCTGCTCCTTATTATCTGTGACATGGCATTACTTGCGCCGTTATTAATTTTGCTCCCCCCCCCCCTTCACTCGCAAGTTCCTGAATTATCGTGTCATTCTGTTGCTGTAATTAAATACGTTTTACTCTCCAGATTAGCTTTGTTGACTCGCCTGCGTCAGCGGAGCGTCTTTTATCTGTCTTGAGGCATTGCTTATCAACATGTCACAAATTTCCTCTAGTTGTTCACGGCGTTCAGAAAGCTCAGATCCCACTGACTGCTCTGTGATCACATTGATTGGGTCCGCAGAGATTTACTAATTGGCTTTCTATGTGAAACTCATCCCTCGGACTCTGCTGACTGGAAAGGACTGTAGGACGGGTGGAGATTGATGTTCTTCACTGTTTTATGAAAGTCACTTTTTGAGGCAAAATAATGCAGCTGGGACCCATAATTCAACTTTAAGTTGGACAATTATTCTTTAGTTAACACTTAATTGTTATAAATTTTCAATTGACTTACATTTTTAGGAGATTATGCATCTCTTATAAACCAAGCAATATCTAAACAATCAACCAAACCAAAACGGTTTATTGAAATGAAATAGAGGAGCATAAATTAATACATTTGTCAGCATTTTAGGTCATCTTAGCACATGCTAATATGTCATAAACCACACTCGTCTCCATTTCAGGGTGTCGATGTGTTTCGTATCCAGCCTCAGCATCACGTTTCCTGTGTCTCTTTTGCCTCTGTTCTTGTGATCTTAACGCTTTTTTTGTGCTTAACACGTTTGATAAAACCCACTTGCAGAGCCATAACCAAAACGGTCATAAATTAGACCGGTGTTTCTCAACCCTGGTCCTCACCGCCCCCCTGTCCTGCATGTTTTAGGTGTTTCCCTTCTGCCACACACCTGAATTGTATCTATGGGTGATTTACAGGCTCCTGCAGTACTTGATGGTCATGCAATCATTTGAATCAGCTGTTCTGGAATAGAGGCACATCTGAAACATGCAGAGCAGGGAGGCGGTGAGGACCAGGGTTGAGAAACACTGAATTAGAATAACAAAATAGAAGAAAAATTAAATAAAAATATTTTCAGATTTATTTATTTATTTTTTAAGTTATTGTCCTCTAGATAATAAACCTCACATTCCCGTGCAGCTGTGAAGGTCCTCCTGTTCGCCGAACACTCAGAGCAACAATGACAGCTTCTAATTTTAGTTTTGCTAATGCTTTTGTTATCTAATCAACCTTCTCGAGAGAGAAACACAGAGAGAGCATGAAAAAAAATGAAACAGCAGTCAGGATTGAACTTGTGTTTTAACTCAGGAAAGCGTTTGCATGTGTATTTCCATAAACCCAAGAATACTCCGTATTTAAACAGAATAAAACATTCATTCATAGCGCAGTGTCAGTGCTTAGTGTGAAATTGAAAGCAGTTTAATCTTTAGCATATATGTCACTGCTTAAGTTGCTCCACCAGTTTGTTCCATAGTTAATTCACCACATTCCTCACATGTTGAAACATCACGTTGTCTTTTCACAAAACGCTGCAGGCACTTTAGATTATTTAATCTTCCCCTATGCATAACTGCAACTTTATCTGAGTGGGAAATCTCAGCTTCTGTTATTGGACATGAGCTGCGCTGATTACCTTGATAAGTTGTCTGTTAAACATGAACGTTAATGTTTATGGGAAATAATTTTCCGTCATTGTAGTACTGCATCTTGGAATGATTCTGAATCCTTCGAAAAAGCATCTAAAAGTCCAGTGTGAAGTGAAGGCGCGCTTGTTTTATGTACAGTAGATGCTGGTTTACAGCAGCTTCTTACAGATGTGTCAACTGCAATTTTATTTAGTTTTAGATTTCTCTTTAATAACATAAGAGTCGCAATAAGTAATTAATCACATGATAACTTAGATGTTTTGAAGATCAACTTTGTTCATCATCTGTTTTTTCTGTGGTTTTTGTTCTTGTTTCAGTTTCATTTATTATTTTTGGCTCTTATGTTTTATTTTGGATGTTCTTTACAAAATTCAAATTTATTGGCCTTTGAGAGGGCAGAGTGCATCATTTTATCATTATCAATATAATACCTGAAAAATGTTCTGTTTATTGTTTATCACAATCTGTTATTGTGACAGGCAATTGTTGAAGTAGTTTTACTGTCATTCAAAAAAAAAAAAGATTAAGTTAACAGGCTCCTGCAGAGTTAACTGTGTACGTGATATTCAGGATGCTATGCTAGCAGTTAGCGCTGTTAACCAGGGCTAGCTGTTCTCGTGAGGCTAAAGCTAACTTTGCATTTTTCCCTAAGAATCTCGTCATTAGATTTCCAAAACGCTGACATGTCCAAATCCAACATGT